CCTACTAATTTTTTAATGTTTAGTTTTGAAAGAGAGAGCATGAACAGGGGTTGGGGAAGAGAAAGAGGATCTCTCAGAGGCAGAGGATCTGAAGCAGGCTCTGCAGGACTCGAACTCACTAACTCACTGAGTGAGATAATGACCCTAGCCAAAGTCATTGAAAAATTGAGCCACCCACGTGACTTTTCGTTTCTTCTGTTTTGAACAAGTTTTTCTTTTTTTTTTAAATTTTTTTAACGTTTATTTATTTTTGAGACTGAGAGAGACAGAGCATGAACGGGGGAGGGGCAGAGAGAGAGGGAGACACAGAATTGGAAGCAGGCTCCAGGCTCTGAGCCATCAGCCCAGAGCTCGACGCGGGGCTCGAACTCACGGACCGCAAGATCGTGACCTGAGCTGAAGTCGGACACCTAACCGACTGAGCCACCCAGGTGCCCCTTGAACAAGTTTTTTAAACACTTTACAACTTTCTCAGAAGGTGGCTAAAGAAGGAAAGTGAATTATCTTTTTTGACAAAGTAGTATTTTGCTTTTTACCAAAAAAAAAAAAAAAAAAAAAAAAAAAAAAAAAAAAGAAAGAAAAAAAAAGAAGAAGAAGACTGCCTATGTGACCACAATGCCATCTCAGTTGGGTGAGCAGGATGTGTGTTGATGTTCAAGGATAATTTTCTGTTTGGGGGAGTCAGCATATACACTTACCCAGCCCAACAGTACTCATGGAGAATACAGATGTGTGCTGTGCCTCCCTTTGCCCTGTACTTGTTCATCTGTCTGGAATGTTTCCTTTCTTCCACATCTGTTTCTATCTTCCCAGGCTCCTCTCTTTCAGAGCCCTTTTCTGACCCAAACCAGATGTGGGCACCTCCTTTGAAGCCCACAAGGTTCCTTGTTTATATCTCTTCTGATACTTACCTCATTCACTGGGCCTTGTATTACTGAGGTTTGAGTATTTTCATACCTTCACCTCTCCCCTCTTCTCTTTCTAGGAGAAAAAATACAAGGTATCTTGTCTTTGTATCCCCAGTGTACATAGTCCCTGGCACATAATACATGCTGAACTGAAATGACCAGAATGTATTATATGGGTCAAGGAATCGCCCACTTGGCAAGAAAAGAAAGAAAGAAAGAAAGAAAGAAGAAAGAAAGAAAGAAAGAAAGAAAGAAAGAAAGAAAGAAAGAAAGAGAAAGAAAGAAAAAAAGAAAAAAAACCAGACTTTGATTTAGTGAGAAGTCTTTTGTATTTTTATTATTTGCATCTAAGAGACAAAATGTTTGTAGAGAAGAATTGTCTTCATCATGCCTTAAATGAGCACATTTTCCAGAAACCCCCTTCTAGAAGCAAAACATTTATCATTCATTAATGATATGAATAACTATCCTTCATCAAGGGCTTCCTACTCTCTATTGCTACAGTATCCTGGGAATTTTGATCTGTTTAGAAAGTAGGCTTAAAAAAGTGGTAACATGGATTTTTCATGTGTCATTATCCTGTTACTTCTCATTCCATCAACTAGAACCAGGTGTTTAGCTTGTAATCACTATGGTGTCTGTAATGTTATAAATGCTCGTTTAGGGGAAAAAGGCATTTAAATATCTGTTCTGCTTCTTAATTTTTTTTTCTCTGTCTCTTTGTTCTTATTCTCATTTGTTTAATAAATATGTTTCAAGAGCTTGGTATAGCTGCCTCCATGCTAGTTCTGGAGATATACACTGCTTCTCCCTGTGGTCATGGGTTGGTGGGGAATCAGACAAGCAAACAAGCAGAGTGATTGCGCTTTGATGGGGTGGAGCCCTGTGACTGGAGAACCTGGAAGCAGACTCCTTACTAAGCCTTGAGTACCAAGGAAAGTTTCTCAAAGAGTTCAGAAGACTATGAGGTTGAGGAAGAGTTAGCTAGAAATGGGTGGTGGAAGAAGGAAAGGGTGGGA